CTGGTAGGGACAGGGGATGTGGTACTCCCTGCAGCGCTCCTGGATCCACGTGGTCTCCCACACGCCGCGGTACGCCTGCTCGTAGAAATAGCAGCCGATGACCACGAGCAGGGGCACGAGGTAGAGCACGCTGAACACGCCGATGCGGATCATGAACTTCACCAGCTTGTCCTGGTTCTCCTTCTCCAGAGGGATCTCGATACGCACACGGTTCAGGGAGATGATTCCAGCCAGCAGCAGGGACACTCCCACCACGACATAGAGGCAGAGAGGAGCCAGCACGAAATACCTCAGGGCATCCACGTCGTAGAGGCCGACGAAGCAAACGCCGCTGATGTTGTCGCCCTCGATTTTGTTCATGGCCAGCAGGATGATGGTGAGGGTGCCCGGGATGCCCCAAGCACTGGCATGGAACAGCAGGGCTTTCTTCTCGATGGCCTCGCTGCCCCACTTGGGCACCGCAGCCAGGAACCAGGTGATGGTGAGGATGACCCACCAGACGCTGCCGGCCATGGTGAAGAAATAAAGCACCATGAAGAGCATGGTGCAGGCTTTGTTGTGGGAGCCTTGGGTCACCGTGGAAGCTTTGTACTGGGAGGGGCTGGAAGCGTTGCAGGCCACCCTGTCCTCGAGCAGGAAGCCGATGAAGAAGATGAGGGACACCATCATGTAGCGGAAACGCGTGACGTCGATGAGGAAGGTGAGGAAGGTGAACAAGGTGGCCGAGAGGCAGACGATGGAGATGACGCCGATGAAGTAACGGGCNGGCGTAGAAGATGATGGGCCTCTCCGGATAGCGGAAACGCGTGACGTCGATGAGGAAGGTGAGGAAGGTGAACAAGGTGGCCGAGAGGCAGACGATGGAGATGACGCCGATGAAGTAACGGGCGAAGGAAAGCTCCTCCCGGCGGAAATACATGTTGGGGCAAGGAGGGGAACAATCCCTGACCCTCAGGAAGGTGTAACCCAGGTCGGGGTCGATTTTGAGCTCTCGGGGACACCAAAAGCCGTAGTCCCTCTGCACGGCCATCGGCGAATCCTCCGTGGGCTCGCCAGCCAAGTTGAGGTCAACCAGGCGGGGATAGGGCTCGTCACAATCTGGGAACCTACAAAGAGGCATTCACAAGAAATGGACCCACAGCTCAGTGCTGGGAAGGAGAAGGGTTTGACAGGGAGGTTTCATAGATATTTATGTGTAACAGGAAGATCTTTGAATGTGGAATGTGAAGAAGGAATAGAAATGATGGCGAGTTTTGATATAGAAAAAAAAAAAAAAGAATTGCTGAGCCAGTCTGACTGGATAACTGAGAAGGCAAAGAGCAAGTGAGTTGAAAGTGGTTTTTATGACTTAGAGCAAAGGATAAATCCACCTCAAATAAAAGATGTTTTTACCGAGCAAAAAGATTTTCACAGACACGTTGCAAGCAGAAAGAAAGATTTCAACATTTTCCACTGCCAGAAAACCGAAAAATAACTTTTAGCTGAAACTGTAACATAGAAACTTTTAGTGATTGGAAAATAGTAACATGAATATGGTGATGTTGGTAGTTATAATAGGCTGTAGGTAATTGTAAAAATATTAATTAGTTGTCGTGTTTTAAGATGCCCTACAAAATAAAGTCTCTAAAATGCATTGTAACCAGAACTGGGGTGGCTTCAGAGGAACCTGCAGCTGTGGGCTGGGCTCTTGTACCCACGACCTGTGAATTGCTGCATGCTCTGCACACAATAAACAGCATTTTAAAAATCAGCCCGGAGCCCCCCCATCCCTCATTTCGGTTCTTACAGTTTACAAGGACTGGTAATTTCATTTCTAGGTGTGACTTCAGGCAAACCAGCTGGAGCAAAACCAGACAATCCAAACCATGGGGAAATTCTGCACTAATTTAGTCACAAACTCATCCCACAGAACAATGTTGAAACCATAAAATAAGTTTAAAAATGAAACAGCAGAGGAGCCCATTTGGGCTTTAAGAATGAAGGTAAGGATGCAAAATCCATGCCAGGAAATCCATGAATTCAAGGCCACGGCAGCAGGATTTTAAAACATTTCAAAGCCTTTCCTAGCTGTCATCAGACAGGGCAGTGAGGTGGTGACACCAAAATTCCAACTAGCACTGCCACCAGCTTTGATAAATGGAATTATGATGGAGATATTTGTGTAAATAAAGCCCTGACTGGAAGATGAGGACTGCTGGAGTTTCAAAGGAGAGATTGGAGCAATCCCAGCAACCTACAAACATCCTCTGACTTATCTAACTAAAACAATTTTAATTGCTTTTCATTCTCTCCAATCCAACTGTAAATAATTTCTTCGTGTTTCTGCTCCTCAGTTTCATTAACCGTTGGAGTCACTTACAAAAAAACAATAAAGCATGAAGACAGTGCTTTTAATTTCCTGCATATTCTGTCTCCACCAGCTTGGATCTTTTTTCCATGAATTTATTTGTGCAGTGTAAAGCTGAACACAGCTGTTTGCAGCTCAGCAAAGGGGTGCACACTCTGCAAACAGCTTTGAGGTTTCAGCCTCATCAACATCAGCCAATTTTCAGTTGCCCTTTTGGGCAGAAATAGGAACTCACTTCCCACCTCAGGAAAAGCTGCTGGCAAATGGGAAGGAGAACACAGCTTTGTGATGGAAAATGTTCAAAACCTGCTTTTAATGGGTGTCTTAGGTTGGGATACAGGATGTGACCAAAAGTTTGTATTTTATCACCATCTGTTAAACCAGCTGGGGCAGTGATCCTGATCTCTGTGGGAAATATTCTCTGTTAATGTTCCAGCTGTTAAAACCAGCTGGGGCAGTGTTCTTGATCTTTTCCACAACCCATCCTTCCTCCAGGAGATATCTCCTGTTAATGGGCCATGGAGTCCCCCTGAATGGCTGATAAAATTCCATCATCCCATTGGGTCCCACTAATTAACTGATAAAATTCCATCA